AAATAGAGTTTTTTTACACATAAGTTGTGTAATGAAGAGATCTTATATTTTTTTAATAGTAAATGCAACATTAACTATTGTGATCTGCTTGCATTATAGAGAGATATATTGATCAGAATTTGATGCTTATTTTGTTGAATCCTACTCGGGTATCATATATTTTTAATTAAATATTTAACATGTTTTTTGATCTTAAAATATTTTTTATGAGTTTTTATATGTATTTATATTATTTTTTTCACTTTCAAATTGTGCTTTTGATAGGTTCGCAATGATGGTAATGGTCAAAATGCTCCTTCGCTCTTAATCATTCATCATAATCAAGTCATCTGCCGAAATGAAACATTTTTTATAAAAACATGAGTTGGTTTTTGAAAGCATTAGCCACTTATTTTAAAATATATTGGGAATTTGTTTTATTTATTTCGAATAAGTGTTCAATCCTTTGGTGTTTTTTTTTCCTACTTGTGGATGTTTGAAGACTTTTCATATATTTAGAATTTGATAATTATAAATTTAAGAATATTGTGTAACTCGTATAATTTTTCTTTTATTTGCATTCCACAAGATTAACTTTTTTTAATTTATTATTTTTTTTTTTGACAAAGAAAAAGAAAATAATTGAATTTGGAGGCGAAATAAAACTATAATGCTAAAAGGCGAGTTAAGCCTTTATAAATTCTAAAATTTGAGGCGGTTACAATCGCCTCTATAAATTCCACAACAACCGTCCCTATAAATTTTTAACCTAGAAGCAATTGCAACTGCCTCAAATATTTCATGTAAAATTTAAAAAACTAATATGGGAGACATAGAGGTGGTTCTAAACCGCCTTAAAAATTAAGTGTTAAAAAATCATAAAAGATAAAATTGACATCGTAGAAGTGGTCGAAGCTCGCTTAAAAAAAAATTTGAAACGGTTTCAACCAATCCCCTCGGAATTCCCGAGCGGTACTAAACAATAGAGACAAGACCGTTCGAGATGGTTGCTCATGATTCTTTGGAGTTTGGAATGGTAGACAAGAGTGAAGGTACTAGACACTAGAGACAAGATAGCACGAGATGGATATTTTATTTTAAATACTTCAATCAAAGTATTTAATTTTATCAAAAATAATATAAAAATTAAAATTAAAATTGGCATGCAATAACTTTAATCCATGTAATATAACATAAGAATAAATTGGTAAATACAAAATATATATATATATATATATATATATATATATATATATATATATATAGCGAGAGAGAGAGAGAGAGAGAGAGAGGCTTGCGGTTGAGCCTAATCCTTGCCGGATGGAAAGAACAAAAAAAACACGTGGATAACGTGTGGTCCGACAAAAGTTGGCTGCTGCAACTATAAAATTTTTTTTTTTTAATTGAAAAACACTTTTAAACACTCGCCTTGTCCTTATAAACATAAATCTAATATCAAAAACCATTTTTAAACAATAAAAAAAATACAAAATGAATATATATTTTTTAATTTATACAGTTAAATGGTAAAATTTTAGTGTCTAGAATTCTTGACAATGAAAGCATTTGTTTGATGTTGGTATCTAAGGGCAATAGTGGCCGGATTATATCGCTAGAAATTATCTATCTCTTATTTCTTTTTCTTTTATTCAGTTTCTCTTCCTTTTATTTATTTATTTATTCTTTTTGTGATTTTTGCTTTTATATTTTTGACATGTTTTGTTTGGGCAAATCCAATACTAAAAAATAATTCATTCAAAATCAATGGCTAAGATCGATAAGTATAGGACATGACTTGAAATTTCAAGAGTTTATAAAGGTAGATTAGAAACGAAATTTTGTATTATTTTTATCTCTATCTCGCGTGTCTTAAAGATGTAAATAAATTTAACTCATTTTGTCTTATAAATAGAAACAACAATGGTCATTGTCTAAAATTTTGCAATTGAAATATGTTTTTTTTTTTCTTTTATGCTTTACGTCCTGTATGCATTTCAAAATCCAATTTATCCGAGCTCAATAGAGACAGATCAATTCCAAGCCCTAGAAACACATTACGAGCTTTGGAAATGCAACGAAAAGTGAGAGGATTAAAGTACCAAGTTCTTATTGATATTTCATAATCTGCAGCAACATGTTACGTATTGCGAAAAAGAGATAAAATTCTAGAAGATGAAAAAAAACTTCCGAAGGACTCGGGATACATGAAGAGAACACTAGATTGATTTGAAATTTTCTTAGAGTTTCTAGAGCATTAAAGAAATTTCTAAATTGTTCTAGAGAAATCTGACTATGAACTCCAAAGAGAGTTTTTTTTTATTTTTTTGTAAATATATAGATATGAGAATACCGAGATAATCATCGATTACAATAGTTTGATCGAATTAATCATAACTATTTATTTAGTAGGAGAAGATTTATAAATAAGTAAGACCTTCATTTAATCAAATTAGTTCAGAGTTGTAAGTATTTGTTAGAGCAATATAAAGAGTTTTTATAACATTTCTTTTGTTTGACATTCTTGCTTCAATTCCTAGTATTAAGTAAATGCTGACATGATTTAATTTGAGTGAGAAATGAGGTAAGTACCAAACCAAGTCTATGACAAGTGTTATTAGAGATGAGTTGCAAACTAAGTATTCAATAGATAAGTATGTTTAGTTTTGATATTAACGACACCGTAACGGATCTTACGGAAAAACAAAAAAGAAAAGAACCCTTTTCCTACTTAACCCAATGACCATTTTTGAGTAACGACTCTTAAAAGCGGAGGGTGTTATTGACTTTAAGGAGAGACTCGAGGCCATAGTAATTATATAGCTAGTGATTTGTTATTCTTGAGATTAGTTAGATTGTTAAAACTATTATATAGCTAGTGATTTGTTACAAATAATTAGTTTAGCTAAACCGGTATAAAAAGCATTAACAGTACATGTATTGTGCATGTGTTATTAAGTCGAAAACATAATCAACTTTACTAAATTTTCTTCACTCAATCATGAAAGTTAACAGAAATATTTTGGCTAAATGAGTTACCTTGTTTGTTCTTTATCAAAAGTAATTTTTTATTTTTATTTTTTATTTTATTTGTGTGATGGTGCTTGAAGGAAATGTATACAGGATAGAAGGGGTTGGCTCCGTGGCATTAGATTAGTGTTCATGAGTTTACGGCATAGATTTTGTCTGAAATTATATGATTGAAAGGGGAAGGTTCAGCTTATTTTTTATGTGTGACCGAATGAAGCCATGCTTTGGTTGGCAAAACCCAAATGGCCTAGTCCATCAATTCATAAATTTTACATTAGTCGAAGAAAATAAAGCGAAGTGTAATTTGTAAGCTTGCGTGATTAGTCACAATGTTCCATTCACAATAACAAAGGCTTAGTGCCTAGTTTGAGTACACATTGATTGCTGTTTAGATAAAGATATCAGTCCTTAAAGGATCATGGCTGAGAGCTCAGATTATTCATGCATGAGGCTGCTCTGTTCAGATTGAGCACAAAGTTGGAGTTCAAGGCTTGGGAAAAAAAAAATCATTAATAAAATTAGAAAAAAAATATTGCAAGAATCAAGTAAAACCTTTTTGCATAATTCTATAGCATTAACCTATTATATTAAGTTGCGATAGAAGTTTCTTTTTTCTAATTTTATTGGACGTTTTTAATGATTTTAGATTATACAATAAAGATGATCTTTTTTTTCCCCTTTATATAACAATGGGAAAAATATAATCAATAAGATTCCAATCTATTTCATCAAAATAAACTATTAAATATAAAACTATTGAGCAAGCTCACGTGGATTATGATAAAATAAAAACTCACGTCATTATTATCACATTAGACATGTGTATAAATTTATGTCCAGCAAGTAAAATCGAACCTATTTAATGGTCTCCCCAGATAAACAACATATTGAATTCAATACATGAAAATGTTAAAACTTGATTTGATAACTTAACACTTGAGTAGTCTTCTTCTTTTTTTTTTTTTTTTTTTTTTTTTTAACCTACTACTCTTTATTAGCCCTTAGATTGCAAGTTTACGTTGATCGCAATCACGTTTCACGGCTCAAGCCCTATCTCTCTGCTAACTGCCTCCATGGATCTACAAAGTCCACAAACCCATATAAGCTAAAGCCCATAATAGATTCATAAGCCCATAATTGAATAGCCCAACTTCTTCAGTGACGGTTCTGTCATTAGCTTCCAACGCATGCTAAGTAGCTGTCAATCCTAGTCTCACTCAGTCCATGAAACTTCCAACGTAAGCTAAAGCCGTTTATAACAAACAAAAAACCAAGAAGAAAGCAGTTAACACTTTTACTTGACTTCCATTTTCGTTCTCTCACTTTCCCGCTTCTTCCTGTCCATTTATCAATCTCTCCATCTCCACATTTTTCTTTAGCAATCTGTTTTGCAGACCCAAATTGAAGGTCATGTTCGATCCTTGTAGTTTGCATTTGCTTTACATTCAGTACTATTTTTTCGATTTTTAAGTTACAGATTTTCACTCAAAGAAGTAAGTTTTCTTCCTTCCTCCTTTTGCAAACCCTAGGAGTTCTTTATATATATATATATTTATAGATATATGATAATGTTTTTGTTACATTTGGTAACTCAGAAAATGCGGGGAAGTAGTTTATTGTAGAGGAAAGATGGTTTCTTTTTGTGGGAAAATGAAGGGGTTTATAAAATCAGACTCCAATTACAGTTTTTTCTAAGATTGTTAACTTCTTCTGTGTTTCTAGCTGGTTTTTTGATGGGACATTTTGTGAAGTCATGTTCTGATTGGTTGCTGAGAAAATTTAGGAAAATAATTAAACTTTTGACTTTAAATTCTCACGTTTTTAGATTCAGGAGCCTTATAAAACAATAACATACGATTAATCTTTGGAAGAGAACTTAAAAAGGTTTTTATAATCTTACATGATTTACCATATTGTTTAGTTACTCAAGAAAAAAATGAAATCTGGGTTTTGTGATAGGTAGAAAATCTGATTACAATTGTGAAGCTGTTTCAATGGGGATCATGAGAGTCAAGCCACGAGAGGAATTGTACAATGCGGATTCAGCAAATGAAGTTATAGATGCTTCACCTTGTTCAGTTTATTTTGGGGCTTCTCCGAGGTTTGTTTCTTTGGAAAGATATGTTTCTGTGCCTGTATTTTCATGCTACACTTGAAAAATCTAATTTCCAGATTGATTGTGAAGAAATTTTGTGGTTTCTGTATTGTTTGAATTGAAAAGTTCATTTCTAATTTTAGATCAAGGGTTTTTGTCTAACTATTTGTTATTTAGAATCCTAGGATTGTAAGCATGCAATACACGCTTTTGATCACTTAATTTTCTCTATTCTGCATAGAATTGATTAATTCAATATTCATTTTCCAATATTTGTAGGAGGACAACTGGTCCGACTAGATCATCAACAAGAGGAGGATGGACAGAGGAAGAGGTTAGTCCCTGTAAATTGTGGTTTGTTTCTAACTCTGTATTCTATGATTTATGCATAATAGTGTCTCATTTAGAACCTGCCACAGATTGATAAACTTTGAAAAAAGAATTGAAAATGATAAGATTTGTGGTTGTGCAATTCTGATGACATTTTTGATACTTGTATATGTCATTCGATATTTACTTCATTCAGATACACTTTCATTAATTGCTTAGAAGTCGGCAATGATCTTAAGAAAGAGTTAAATTAACAAGTGATTTCATATTCAGCAACAGACACTATGCTTAAATTCTTATTTGTGAGATGGAAGCTTGCATTTGCTGAAGCTTGCCAACTTTGTGACTACAATGATTTTGATGGACAGGATTATCTTCTGGCAGAATCAGTCAGGAAGTTCAATGGGAAACATTGGAAAAAAATAGGTGGGTATCGCTATTATTTTCCTTGCTTTGTACTAATTCATGCGCATCATCTTAGTTTCAATCATAGACCATTTCTTCTTTGCCCCCGATGTTCTGGTAAATGTTTCGATGAGTGACCTGAAGGGGCTATGGGGAGACAGTCACCTCTGCATAATGTCTGTTGTGAAGTTTCCTGATTGCCACATAGTCCTTTCTGAAGAAAGTTATCCTTTTTATATTACTTCATGTTTCCTTAAGTGCCATTGTGCGAGTATATACATGTACAGAACTTTAACATAAACATTCTGTTTCTGTTGTATCTAAAGCAGAGGAACTGATTAATTTTGTATCCTGCACAGCCGAGTGTCTCCCTGGAAGAACAGTTTCTCAGTGCTTTTGCCGGTGGGACAGGGTTCTGAATCCTGCAATTGTCAAAGGAACCTGGACAAAGGAGGTGAAAATAAAATATTCTTGCTAGTTTTGCTGTCCAGGGAAAAAACGCATGTATTTTGTCTTTCCGACATTATTGATATGGGATAATGGTCTTCTTTGTGTTTGAATTTGATATAGGATCATGGTCTTCTTTTTGTTTGAATTTCAGGAGGATGATTGTATCATGGAGTTAGTCAGAAATCATGGTTGTAGGAAATGGTCTGTTATTGCAAAGTCCTTACCAGGTCGAGTAGGAAAGCAATGCCGAGAAAGGTAAGTGATCCAAAAGTTTAGTTGGCATAAAATTTCTGTCAGGCAATTGACCTTTTCTATTTTTATCTTGGTTGAGGTCTACGTCGACTTCCTTCCATTTTAGAGTTTGTATGCCAGCCAAGACCTGTGCTTGTATATAGTCATTGCAGCAAAAGCCTGTGGAAGTGAAAAATAATAACCATCTATATAATTCACTCTACATGCAATAGAAGTTTGATGATGATTAAAGTAACAACTAATACATGCATAAATAATTGTCCTTGAAACAGGAATCCTGTGGTAATCGAGATCATCGGTTACTTAAAATTGAAATCTTATCAAGTGAATATGCTTGATTCACACTCCTAATATTTCCTGAAAGTTTTTTAGTATTCTAGTATAATAGCAGTAATAGCAGCCGGTATATTTCGGTAAAAGATGAAAAAACATCCTCTTAGTTTAGAGCAAAAACAGGCTATGCATTTTTATTTTGCCTAAAAGTTTTAAATGGATTGTATCAATGTTCATGTTGTCCTTAGAGGATGTCAAGTCATACAGTGAAGCTAATAGATATATTTTGCAGGTGGTTTAACCATTTAGATCCAGCTATAAAAAGAGCTTCATGGACAGAAGAGGAGGAGATGACTCTGACGTACTACCATGAAATATATGGAAATAAGTGGGCCAAGATAATGAGGTTTCTACCAGGAAGGTATGCATGATAGATTAATACTCTCACCACCGACGCTAGAATTTATAAAGAAATGAACTTTGTGTTGAAAGTATTACTTTCTCCTTTTGTTAGTAAACGAAGTGTAACTTTCTGTGTAAGATGGAAAAGAGTTGAATATCTTCCTGTGTAACTTTCTAAGATGAAAAAGTGTTGAACATCTTTTGGTATAAGTTGGATATAGTTGAGTCTTATTCACAACCTTCATTATTTTCCTTGGTAGTTGTGGGAAATGGTGTGTAGAGGTAACATCAAACTGGATAAGTTATATAACAGATTGGGCCATTGGGTGACTAACGTCGTTTTGCTCACTTGTACACATATATGTAAAATATGAGACCACATTTTCCAACATTACCCTGATCATGGCTTGGTGATATGCATACATGTATTATGCCATCCAGTTTAAGTCATTTTGTATCTTTTTGGTAATTGACAGGAGTGATAATGCAATAAAAAATTACTGGAATGGTGTGCTGAAGAAGAAGCTGGATTCATATTCACCAAATGGCTGTGCAATGGATCTGTTCACTGTGAGTTCTCCCAATTCCTACAACTGTGCCACAGAAATAGACTGCCTGAAGTTAGAAGAAAGACAGAGTCTTGAGAATGCAGACTCGGAATATGAAAATATGGGATTGAGGTACAGTGCTGAGATGAGCACTTCTGGATCTGGAAAGGCCAATGGAACTGAGAAGAAGAATGAAGTTTGCAAATTGCATATGCAACCAGAGGAGACAAGCCAGAATTGCTCGCATCATAATTTACAACAGCTGAACAATTTGGTTAGTAATTTGGATGCAGGTGAATTTCCAAGTGTGGATACTAGTGTCGTGCATCCAAACAGTCCGTTTTGTTGTTCTACTCCAACAAAGTTTTCAGGAAGTACCTCTGCCAATAATAACAGTCCAGAATCAATATTGAGGAATTCTGCTAGGACCTTTAAAAATACTCCTTCTATTATTCGGAAGAGGACTTTCAGAAATGCTGCTGTTGCTGAGTCTTCTAATGTTACCTGCAAACCTTCATTGAAGATCCCCTGCATGAATGACCACGAACCTGTCAACCAAATAATCAGTCTAGATGAGAAGCAAGGGTTTCTTCCTTGCATTTATAAACCTGAATCTTCATTTGCTGTTAAGTCTCTGAAAAGGTACTTCGACTATGCTTTTGATATGGAAAAGGATGCAGCTTCTGGTAAATGTGGCAAACCAGTTCCTCTAAACGTATCTCTGCATGTGAATATTTTGGAAATGCAGTGGTGATACCTAGAGATAATTACATTCGGTAAGTGATTGCTTGCTCTGGTTTGAGGGTCACTTGAGTTTTGACTTATCCACGCTCTTTTCTCATGTTTCATGGATCAATTAAGCATAATGTATATAATCATCTCAAAATTGTACGTCTTTTCTCTCTCTAATTAATTAGAGGATTTGAACTCTTAAACTCATTCAAGTATTTGCTTATGTCAGAATGTTTGCAAAGAAACCTTTTTTTTTTTTTAATTAATCTGCAGTGCTTATTGAAGGTCTTGGTTGGCTTCTTTGAGTATGAGGGACGAAGGATGGTGTGATTTTCTTTCTACTCAACATTTGCTACATTAAACGTATTACATGATACCTGAAAGGAGTGGAGTGGAAGTTGCCATATTTTTTACATGATTTCCTTGATGTGATGGATTATTATTGGTTTAGCTGCTGCCAGTTCAGCATCATGAACGTTAAAACTTCAATTATTATGTTGAATTATGACCATTAAAGTCGAAAGATGCACCGTCACATAGCAAAGTGGGCTCTTGGAGACCTATGTTCTTGGGTTGTTTGATAGGTCCTCGGTTTCGCTTGGTGTATCTGGTTCGATTATTGAATCTGAGCATTCCTTCACTTATTTACTTGGTATTCAAATAAATATATACTTTAACCTTTCTTTCCCCTTCCTTCTGATAGCTAGTTTCAATTTCTTCATTCTTTCAATCTCAGGTCCAAAATTCTGATCTGACAGCAATGAAAGCCAATCTTGAAAAGCATCATAGAATAAGATCAGTCGTGGAAGAAGAGGCAGAGTATTGTAACCAATAGTTCGGTCACGTTAAAGAGAAGAAGTACCGTGGCCGCAAAGCAAGTATGGTGGGGAATGCCAGCTCAGGATGTGGACCTAAAATGTATAGTATGTTTTGATTGTTGGGAGACAGCCATACCCGACATCCATGCCGGATTTATGTTTTAAGTTTCTAAGGAAGGTCCGAGGCAATTTTCATTTGCATTGTAATTTGTATGTCATGTCTTCTTTGATCTAAAATGTGCAACAAAATCGCATAGCCATGAAATTTCTTTGGAAGAATTCAAGATGGACAGGCTGGTTTCTCAACAAATTTCCAGTCTTTTTAGCCGAATATGCGAGTACTTCAGAGTTGTCTTCCAATAAAAGCAGTTGTTGGCTTTACGGTCAGCTCGGATATGGTAGTTGATCCAATTGACGGGCATTTGCTTTATGCTTTGAGATGTCATTTATGAATGGCTTTACTGTCAGCTCGGATATGGTGGTTGATCCAATCGATGGGCATTTGTTCTATGCTTTGAGATGTCATTTAGGAAGTGCAAAAAGGCATGTTCAGCTGATGGAGCATGTGGGGGCAGGACAGCAATTAAAGCCATGATAAATCAGAATCCATGAAGGCGTAGTTTGCACATGAAAGCACAAAACAAAAAATAAGCTCAACCCTTGATCGTGAAATTGAAGATCCTTCCCATACGTAGGTAGGACCCCATGAATGGGAAGCAAAACTTCCTTTGACAAGTCTGGCCATCAAACACTGTACCTCCCGAATTAACTTGTGCTCTCTATTGCGTGTCTCCCACACGCACGCAAAAAAGGGTCCTCCTCTTATCTCACGTTGCTGTTACGGATGGAAGGATAAAATCATTTGACATTATCCACTACCTTTGAAATTCAAAATTCTTTCTTACCCATTATAGGTGCTGAAAAGAAGGGAGATGGCATTATCTAAAAAGGTCGAACAAGTTTATTTCATATCTTTTTTTTTTTTTTTTTAAGAGGAGAAATATAGAAAATATCAACATTTCCTTTATATGCTGCCAGTTTTCAGAAATTATTGATCAAACCAGTTACGCTTTAAGCTGTAATAACTAACATCCGATAATAACGACCTTGATACAATGCATGAAACAATTGGACCGTTTTTAATTCAAATCACAAATGCGAAAGATATAATAATTTTTTTTCAAATTTCACATTAATACATAATTTATTTATAAAAAAATAATTTTTTAGATAGTTATTTTCATTTTATGGCCAACAAAACATTATTCTGAATTTTTAGATTGAGATATCCTAAACGATTCAAGAAAAAAAACAAACCCTCACGCAATAAAATACGGAAGGAAAATACATCTTAGAAACATAAATCATGTGGTAGATTAGTAGAGTGTGTTGTTCACGCGCTTTCGTCAACGAGTGGTTTAAGATATACACTACTAAATAAATAAATAAGAGTAAAAAGGGCGCCAAACCGATTCGTTCTGATCGAGGAGAGAACTACAAGAAAATAATTTATCTCCTAAAACTGAAAGTTTTCATATTTATCCATTTCAAAACACAAACGATTTTAACTTATCTCCTTGATTTTTCTTCAAAGATAAAAAGGAGACTTTAAATACCAAAATTACACTCCTTTTTTTCCTAAACTCCTCTTCTGAAAAGCTTTTGTCTTTCTTAATCTCTCTCTCTCTCTCTCGCTCTTTTGGGTATCAGGTCCTTGTTCTGTTTTGTTAATAATAATGGCCGGACAAACAATTCTTGTGACTGGTGGAGCTGGATTTATTGGCACTCATACAGTAGTGCAGCTTCTAAAGGAAGGTTTTAAGGTTTCCATCATTGACAATCTTGATAATTCTGTCATTGAAGCTGTTGAGCGTGTTAAGGAATTGGTGGGTCCGCAGCTTTCTAAGAATCTTGAATTCAATCTGGTAAAGTTCTCACCTTTTCTTTCTTTTCCTTGCCGTTTGATGGAGAAAAAGGAATCTTGGAAATTGACCTTTTGATTTTGGTGTGGTTTTGCAGGGTGATCTTAGAAATAAGGATGATTTGGAGAAGTTGTTTTTAAGAACCAAGTAAGTGGATTTCTGATACTCATTTCCCTCTCTTGATTATTTTGACTTGCCCATATAACTTTAGGCCTCAAGTTTTTGCTAAATTGGTGATTCTGTTCCATTGGTAATTTCAGAGAAGATTTATGTAAAGGAATAGATGTTGTTCTATTTGTGAGTAGATTGTGACCGATGAAATTTTAATTAAGATTCTTGAATTGTTATATGATTAATCATTTCTTACATTGATTATTAAATAGAGAATAGAGTTACATTTAGCAACAGTTGAACTATCTTTTTGAAAGATCAAGCTTTTTCATAAAAGGGGATGGCTTATGTATTTGAAAATGTGACAGATTCGATGCTGTGATCCATTTTGCTGGTCTCAAGGCAGTTGGGGAGAGTGTTGCTAATCCACGCCGATATTTTGACAATAATCTGGTTGGCACTATCAATCTCTATGAAGTTATGACAAAATACAATTGCAAGAAGGTATATTAGTGTTTTAATTTGTGTACTATTATCAGTTAGTAGTTTCTCCCCATTGAGTCGACAACTCATTTAAAAGGAAACTGATTGCTCTGCCAGAAGAGTGTTGATATAATCCAATACCAATATAGAAGCTATCGTTGCTGATTGAATTTCAATCGAGTAATGGGCCCATTTTATGTGCTGTTTTTATGTGGCAAGTCATTTATATCTCTGACAAAAGCAATTTTCACATCAGAAGCATTTACCAATAATTTAACTAAGGATTGCATCACTACTTGTATTGATTGGCATATATATATGATAATTGGAGGTGGACAATCAAAAGTTTTGACAAATTTATTTTCCTTTTTTTTTTTTTTAATTTTTGAATTAGTGTTGTAGAGGACGGATTCTACCACTTTTTTTCCTCTCTTAAATAAAGGGTTTTTAACCTCTCTCTCTTTTTTAGCCTTAAAGGTTAGACATCATTTTTTGAAGCTTTTTTTGATTGTATAGGAGCTGTAACTTTCACTGTTGTTGAATGGATAGAAGAGAAAACTCATGCGTTTCCCATCACTGGAACAAAGATTTTGATTTCTGTTTTACCTTTTGGTTTGTTTATAGATGGTATTCTCATCATCTGCAACTGTTTATGGCCAACCGGAAAAAATTCCATGCGTTGAGGACTTCAAGCTAATGGCAATGAATCCTTATGGACGGACTAAGGTAAAAATCCTTTTTTGCTTTGAATCTTGCTTTATTTCCTTGAAGTTCATATTTGCATTAGTCTTATGATAAATGTTTGAAGTTGGATTAACCTGCTGGAAATGGGGTGGCCTTCTTTATGTCAAAATGGTCCTGTTTCCTTGCCAATTACCAACATTTTTTTATTTTCCTTGCTAGCTTTTCCTCGAAGAAATTGCTCGAGATATTCAAAAGGCAGAACCAGAATGGAGTATCATTTTACTTAGATACTTCAACCCTGTGGGAGCTCACGAGAGTGGTAAACTTGGTGAAGATCCCAAGGGTATCCCAAACAATCTCATGCCCTACATACAACAAGTAGCTGTTGGCAGACTTCCTGAGCTTAATGTATATGGTCATGACTATCCCACAAAGGATGGTAGTGCGGTATGTTGTCCTACATAAGTTATTTGCTATTTTTGCAAAATCAAAGAAAAATTGCCTAGGACTTTGGAATACTAATAGTCATGCAGGATACATCTGGCAGTTCTGTTTGTGAATTTAGTGCACACCAAATGATATTGCTCACCACCATTTGGTTTTCATGAACTATTTGATTTTTGGATTAACAGGTCAGAGATTATATCCATGTTATGGACTTAGCAGATGGTCATGTTGCTGCTCTTCGGAAGATTTTTACAACAAAGGATATAGGTAATCCTCTTTTGCTACACAGATTTAAATGTTAACCAAAGTGCAGTCACCTGCATCTGGTTTCAGTTCCAAGAGTCATAATGCAAATGTTGGGAGTTTACGCTGTCACAAACAATTACATCACTGAATACTTAAAGGCAATCTAGTTTTATCATCTGAACACTTCCTTTATTGTGTATTTCTCTTGTGTTTAGGTTGTATTGCATACAACCTGGGAACTGGACGTGGAACATCTGTGCTTGAAATGGTTACTGCATTTGAAAAAGCTTCTGGCAAGGTGACTTTTCCTTCACATCACTTGTTATTCTCTCTCTCAAAAAATGCAGCTAGTCAATGTATTTACTATAAATTCTGTTTTCAGAAAATCCCCGTCAAGTTATGTCCAAGAAGGCCTGGAGATGCTACAGCTGTTTATGCTTCTACAGAGAGAGCTGAGAGAGAACTTGGCTGGAAGTATGTTCTCAATCCATCTTTTCCTGACAGTTTGGTTTATTACAAGGATCTTCCCTTTTGCATTCCTAATAATTATGCCATGCTTCATAGGTTTTCCGTAGCTCATAGACTGATAAAAATCTCAATTGATCATTTTGGCCATCTTATTGAAATTTCACAAGCTAATTGTACCATCAGTTTCAGTCCAATCTGTTGTTGGTCCTTATAAATGTTGTGATGGAATTTCCAGGGCAAAATACGGTGTAGAGGAGATGTGCAGGGACCAATGGAAATGGGCAAGCAATAATCCATGGGGTTACCAGTCAAAGCGTTGAAATGCATGTTTATGGGTGTACTAAACAAAGCTATTCCGTCCATGTCGTGCGGGTCATAAATTCATGATAAAATACAGAAAAGGCCTGGACTCATGGGCCGCAATAACAACAGAGAATTTTTTTTTTTTTTTCATGACTTTGACTAGACAGGTATTCTCTTGGGGTCGTAGGACTATTTGCCATAGACCCTTACAAAATAACTTGTAAAAAAAAAAAACTAAAACAAGTTATTCTCAATTACATAAAAGTTTGGTCATTCCATTTTCTTGATAAATCTCTTCTCAGTTAACAGACGTGAATGCTGTGTGTTGATAATATGATCATAAGCTTAAATTTACTGGAGTGGCAGAGAAATTTGTGTGGACATCTGCTGAGTCTTTATTTTTATTTTTTTCTTTTGCTTGCTTGATTTATTGAAGCATCTCCTATCTAGTTCATGAACCTCTCCCTCCTAAACACTTCAAAATCCACTCTTCATTGTCAATACTAAAATAAAATATAACCAAAAGGAAGTTGCGCGGAATTACTTTCAGGGTTGGTGCATGGATCACCGGTCACTCTCCCTTTTCCAATTTCTTAATGTTTCATTAGTATTTCTCGCAACAAGTGTGAGGTTCTTTATTACAATTAACAAAGATTAAAGTTGATTGATCAAGAGTTGACGCGTGTGCCTTTCCTTTTCCCTCACCTCATGATTTTTTTTTTTTTAATTATATATTTTCTGTTTTAACTAAGCAGAGACAAGAGTTGGTCTTATCTGTGACATGTTAATGCAAACTCAAATCACTAAGGTACAAGAATTACCACCCGTAATGGTCAGGTACATTATTATTATTTTTTTTTTCCAACTGTTCCATTAATACCCATACCTCTTCCTGGAAACTCCATGGATCTTATAACCAGAAACACACTGAAGAGGCACAGTGTTGCAAGAGCCAAGCTTATAAAGAGAGTTGATTTTAGAGGGGCCCCCAAAATATTCACTGGGAGCAGGTTTGAGGAACCATTTCTTCTAAGGAGGAACACTTGCACAACAAACTGAAACAATGAGGCAGGAAGGAGAGGTGTTGGTTGTTGCTTGTAGACCCATGGCTGGTGTGTCGCCTGTATCAGCCAATTCTCAATATCAACAACCATTTCCAACACCTTCACCATTCTCCTTCTCCGTTGCCTCTACAATTTACCATTCCAATCTCATCCTTCTATTATTGGCACTTGTGTTCTCCTTTGTCTCTGCACTTTCCCTGGCTGCTTCATCATCCAAGAATAATCGACATCCTTCTAGCTTCACTGACTCCTCAGAATTACTGTTAAGTGTAGAGCCAAAGACCGTAAGTTCTGAAATTTTAGTTTCCATATTTTCACTATTGACGAGCAAAAAAAAAATCAGCGATCCACAAATCAAAAGCAAGAAATCAATTCTTGACTTTGATGTGAAAGACTCTCGTTCCTATGGTATCTTGTTTTCATATTACGAATTCTTTGTCAACAATTAAATATCTGATTACTCTATTTCCTTGTGTAGGTGCTGCTTCATTGTATCAGCTTTAGTGTTCGTCTATTCTGCTTTCTAACTCTTTAAAGGTGTCTGTGACATTGCACACAAAGGCATCCTCATCTCAGACATGTTTTCGGACTATATGAGCTTCATTCTTGATCATGTGCAGTTTCAGAGGAGCTTAAAACAATATCTGATAATTTCCTCCCCCGCGCCACCACAGCCCCCCCACCAAAACCAACACCCCCCCCCCCCCCCAAAAAAAAACCCCCTCCCCCATAAAACTGCTTCTATCTGGAAGGAGGTAATTATTTCCACAACCGTTTCATTTGCGACTTCCTTCGTCATTGCGACCTGCACTCTGTTATCAGGCTACAAACTATGTAAGAGAATCATCTGGTGAAGGCGGGATGCATCACGTGCCTGCTTAAAATCCTAACGTTCTTTCTTAACCACACAAAAATCTCCGATTTAGCATGTAAAAGTGGGGGAAAAAAATCACCTTTTATGGGCATGCCTGGTGTAATATCATACTCTGCTGATTCTTCAATCATATGAAATACGATCATTTTCCTTTCTTCCTTTTTTTTTAAAAAAAAAAAATTTTTTTACCAGGTTAAACATGATTGAATGTCAGGTTGTGAGCATCCCTGAATTGGAAAAATATGTCCCAGAATTTGCAGCATCCTTTATATTCTCACTCAAGCAATCATCTTATTCAACTACCAAAAAATAGACCAGACAACCTGTGTAGGTTGGTACTGCTGGATTAATATCCAGTGCCAGTAAACAGGTTGCTTTTTAGCTGTTGAATATGGCGGTCTTAATCACAGGCTTTATATGTGGTCAGTATATATTTTAAGATCTAAAAATTGAATTGCGTATCTCATAATATACTTCAAATTTAACATAATCTAGCTGCAACAAGAAAAAACATTAGGATTGATTATGCCCTAAAACATAGCCATTGTCTCGATGGAAATAAGTAAAGCCACAAGATATAATGAATATGATAACCATCACCTTATAGCCTCTGCATGCTTCTCCTCTTCTTCGGTGACAACAAGCTTGCCATCTGTAAACTCGCAAGCAGGAATAGGGACCCCGAGCTGCTTCTGCAGTTTCTTCACAACAAAAACTTCTGGCTCCTCACAAATTGTAACCACAGTGCCCTTCCTACCAAGCCGGCCAGTCCTGCCAGCTCGATGTGCATAATGAATTGAATCTGTAGGCAAGCCAAGATTGACAACAAGATCACATTCCGGAACATCCAAACCCCTTGCTGCAAGTTCATTTGTTACGAGAACTCTCACGTCCCCACCTTTAAATTTCTTTAGAATTGTTGACCTACCAAGCTTGCCAAGATCCCCATGGAGCTCTGCAGCTCTCATCCCGCGAGCCTCTAGTTTGAAGACAGCATCTTTTAGTTGCCTTGTATTGTTCATGAAGGCTATCACGGATTGCGCATCCAGTGCATGAACACATCTTCTCAAAGTATCAACCTTATGCTGCAACCTTGTGATGCAATAATAGTGTTTCAATGCCGGAGGAAGGCTCTGTACCGTTGCCTGAGGCTGCAAATTTGAGTCTGAGCTTGAATTAGATGTAGGCCTGGACAGATTAACATTTCCAGGAGAAAGAGATTCAAGTGGAACAACACTTTTTGCTTGGACAAGAAGTGGATCACATGCCCAGCTCCTAGCAGCCCTTATGACAGAAAATGGCACTGTTGCAGATACCATGATAGTCTGACGACCAGGCCGTCTTGCAAGCAGACTGCTTTGTCCTCGAGGGTCTGCACCTGATCTCCTCCCTACGTGTTCCAATATCCGGTGCATGTCCTCCCGGAAGTTAAATGAAAGAAGCTCGTCAACTTCATCTAAGACCAAATAACGACAACCGTGGGTATGAAGTTTACCAGCTGCACTAATTTCAGCTATCCTGCCAGGTGTACCCACAACAATGGATGGCTTGTTTTTTCTTAAAGCTTCTTCCTGTCTTGACCGATTTGCACCTCCTACAAGTTGTTGAACCACTTTTTTGTTATCAGGTCCTAACAGCTTCTCAACCTCTCTCACTATTTGCATACCTAGCTCTCTAGACGGAGCCACAATCACTGCTTCTATCTCTGTTTTCTTTCCAGTTTCTTTATCACCACTTGAAGATTTATTCTTCAGAGGTCCAACTTCAGACAGTATGGGAAGTGCATATGCCAGTGTTTTCCCCGACCCAGTGTACGATTGTATGACAACATCATGATTCTTGAGAATAGTTGGGATTGCTACAGATTGAACATCAGTTGGAACATTAAAGCCTTCCCTTTCTAACCTTTCTATTAACGGAGGTGGAAGGCCAAGCTCAGAAAATGACTTTGCAGCAAATGGAGCCGACTCTATTTCAAGCGGGTTTTTCACTCTAACAGCTCTAGTTTTGTTGCTTGCAACTGCCTTCCCTCTACTTTTCGATGCTTCAACAGGATAAGTCACTTTCACATTCTGGGGTTTATTTCTTTTATTTTTGGAACTCATTTCAATCTCGGTACTAAATCCAAGATTTGCAAGAGTAAGAGATGCATGTTTGTCCCGGTCAACACGACTGAAAAACCGCACACTATGTTGACATAAAGCTGAGCTAGAACCACAAGATAATTTCTTAAAGGGTAATGAGTCTCCAAGAAGAAAGAGCAACCGCGGTGATATTAATGATGGCATCTTTGCCAGAATTGAGCCAAGCAAAAAATTAATATTTGGCCAATTGATAACTTCTCACACAGGTGACATCTTAAGCTAATACTGTCAGAGCCTTCAAAGAAAAAAGAAAACAGAGAAGCCCTTTCCTTCAAGCTGCATTTTAAGTACACAGTAACAAAATCAAGTCAGTGTGATGGAAACAAATTGACCTTCAAATAAGTCTTAAGCAAATTTCTCTACATATATAAGGTATGTATAACGTTTTGGTTTCGGTTTCTTAATAGTTTTAAAAGTCCAATTGGCTGAGGCATTTTATCAAACAGTATATGAGCGTCAGAAATGAAATGACAACGCAGCATCAAAAGAACGATTGAAGCGGTAGAACAAGTGAAGAAAACCAACACCACAACGTTTGGTTAGTGATAGCTTAACGACTAACACGTTCAAGCTTTCTATGAAAGAAAAGGTAAACTATTCACCCAAACAAAAATGAAACAGGAAGAAAGAGGTGCCAGCAATGCAACAAAGAAAATTAAAGGCCATAAATTCCAACCTGATATCTTTTGATTATAAGCTGGCGTCTGTTGTTTCGAGCTTACGCGACTTGATGGAGAGAGAGAAAGAGACTAAACTTGTTTGTGTGACGGTAAAACTGGCTAGAGGGAGGTTTACAGAGCGAAACGGCAGTACTCGGGAGAAACTGGAAAGCCCGGCGGGGTGGATTGTTGCTCTTCGAAATGTGATCAGAAATAAATGATCTATCAGCGACGTGTCGTCCAATTACATTGCCCAGTGCCCATGACGGAGAAAGCTATGTCTGCTCTGCTTCAGCTCTCAAGTCAAGACTCAAGAGTACAGGGCGTGAGCAATTCAATATAATTTGGACTGGACTCATATTCAAAGATGTGCTTGTTACAATTACTTCGAAGGCAATAATTATTATCTCTTTAAGTTCATAAAACAACAAGATAAAATTTATGAAACATTGATAATTTGTTAGTCCGTAATCATTTTAAAAAAAAAACTTTATTACTACTCAACTATATTTATTTTTCTCTTTTAGAGTAATAAGATTTTTTTTAATAAAATTATAGTTAGATAAATACACCTCGTGTCTTGTACTATTTTGAAAATATTATTGCAACCTTTTTATTCAGATATGATTTATAACAAATCTCATATTATTAGGTATTAGTGCAAAAAAAACTCTTTTATTAAATTCTTTTCATCGGATCGACTAATTTTTATCAATTGACTAACGTTTAACAAATCGAGTGGCGGCACGTATTATTTTATATATATATATATCAGTTTTAAAATTAAAGTAATGATTAATTATTAAAAATTGGAAAAAATTCTATTTTTTACAAATAAAAAAATTCACATTTTAATGATTTTATAATAATTATTACTAAAGAAAATTTTAAAATATATATGCAAAGAATTTTTTATTATTTTATAATAATTATAAATAAATAATTTTTTATTTTTAATGTGTAAAAAAAATTTTCTTTAGTTTTTTAAAAATTTTATTTATTATTAATTATTATTATAAAATCATTAAAATTTTCTTTAGAGTTTTTTTTTAAATTCTTTATTAATAACCATTATAAAATCATTAAAATTTGAAAAAAAAATATTTTTTTTTCAATTTTATAAAGTTAAAATAATTAAAAAAATATATTATAAATTCATTACAAATAAAAAAAATTATTATTTTAAAATTTTTCTATATTTTAATTTTTAATTATTTTATAAAAATTATTAATTTTTTTTAACTTTTTAAAAAATTAAAAATTTTTGATTTTGAAAGAAAATTATATTTTTATCTTTAAGTTGACACATGCCATCATATGATTGGTTATAAGTTAGTCAATCTAATAAAAAAAGTTAACAAATGGGTTATTTTGTACTAACGTCTAACTCGTATAAGGTTTGTTGTGAACTATATCTAGGTAGAAGGGTTGTAACAATATTTTCAGTATAATATAGAGGCAATAGGTATATTTGATCCAATTATATTTAATTGTTCATAATTATTATAATTATGAAAAAATTAGTTAAATACAAAGAAATGAGATAAATTTTCATAGTGCAACAAATAAATACGTACTTATTACAAAGTGAAAAACATTTATTTTCCTTTTTAAAATAGCAACATACCTTTTGAGCCTGTAATTATATTACAATCTTAATAATTACAAAATAATTAGATAAGTTGTTGAGTAATAAAATAAATTATTACAATATAATAAATATAGAGATTTATTAATTTATAACTTCTAAGACACTATAATTGTAATGCCTTCAAATAGCTCTAAGAAATATCATATGTATAATAATATTCATCAATTAGATTGTCAGACCTCACAAACAACCTGTATTGTAAGTAAATTTAAAACTAAGAGTGGTTAAGGATTATGTTTAATCAATGATTTGTTTGGAGAACATGATAAAAAAAAAATACAATTTATGTTATTTAAGGATAAGACTAACAACAAGAAGCATTAAATTAATGACAAATGGTCTAGCAATAAAAAGATTATTTTTGCTTGTCCAAGGTCGTAATTCAATTTTCATTATCTATGAATAACTAATCATAATTATTATTTAGTGGTAGTAGATTTGGATTGATTTAACTTAAAGAATAGTTCATTAGCTCAAAAAGTGATGGATTTAATCTCGATTAATGAAAAAACTATTTAAAAGTATTATACCACATGTAAATATCAAAATAATAATAATAATAATTAAAAAAATATAGTGTCATGACAAAATAGTATTTGACTTTGACAATTTTGGATTGCTATAGCTGCTTATTTTGTTGTGTTACAATATAGAATAACATATTCACAATATAAAAATATTAAAGAGCTTGTAGTCTAGTGATAGTGGTCTCTTGTAATAAGAGGTCACGAGTTCAAATCCTAGCAAACTAGTTTTGCGAGGTGCTTTGGGTGTGTGAGTTTAAAAAACAAAATTCACAATATAAAATGTATGTTTTAATGTTATGAGTAAATTCTTATACATTCTACTCCTATTTAAAAAAAAAAAAAAAGTGATGAATCGGATGGTCATGTTGATGATGGGTGTGCTAGGGCTATAGTAAGTTTTATGGATTTAAGTAGATTTTTTTTCGATTAATTAGGTTTTAAAGGTAATTCAACACAATTAAAGTTGAATTTTACGAAAGTAATAATTATGTGTTCACCTATAAAATACAACACACAAATAGTCACTTGCAATGCAAATAAATTAAAATCAAATAATTTAAGATTTTTGCTATTTGATGATTTATTCGTCAATTTTGTATGAGATAATAAAATTCTTCTACTCAAGGAAGCTTGTGAATAATAAACAAGCATTGCTTATGTATAGGGCTATAAATGGATCGGATTTTTATCCGAATCCAATGTAATTAAATAAATTTGATAAATAATTTTTTTAATTCGATTTTGATTATGATCCAAATCATTTAATCAATTTATTAAAAAGATCAAATCTGGATCGATCTTGATTCAATCTTATAATAATTTGATCCAAAATTAAATATAATACTTTAAAATGTTAAGAATTTAAAATTATCTTAAACTAAAATCATGTGTGTGTGTGTGTATATATATATAAGAAACATAATTTCTTTTACAAAATAGGAGTGGCGATAGATGACAATAACAAATGAGAAAAGAGAGTTTTGGCCAATAGAGAGAGAGAGAAAAAAAAGTGTGATCTTCACCTTTATTGCATTGATTGGACAATGATTTCGACCTTGATCAAGATAAAAATTGATATATTATGCCGACAATCAACTCTTCAACTTGAGTCGATGTCAATTGTTGAGAAGTTTTTATATTTGCATATTTTTGAAAAACTTATTTGGGGAGATCTAGCCTTTTTTTTATTATTATTATTGTTGTTGTTGGAATTCATTTTTGAGATGATGACTTTGATGTTTTGATTTGTATCCTCTAGTTAAGTGAAAATAAAAAACTTGTATCCCACTATTTGATATAGAAGAAGAATTTGATTGGATTATAATCCTATGGTTTTTCTCATATTAGAGTTTTTCACATGAAAAATTATGTGTTGATTGTGGTTGTATTTATTTATTTTTACACTAATATTATTGATTGGTCAATCATAAATTTAGTTGCACAAATAGAAAAAAAAAAGAGTTAGTATTTGTAGTTTGTAATTTTAGTTCATATATGTAATTTTAGTTTGAATTTGATTGAATTATGTAGATTGGTTTTCTTGTGTAGTTAAAATAGAGAATAACGATTCGGATATGATAAATCTCACTTCCTCTAATTATTCCTTATAAAAAAAACATTAATAGAGGATCACCTTTGCTATAATAATTTAGATTTGCTAATTGAGTGTGAAGGAAAGAAGCATGCTTATATGGAGGAGGAAAAATAAAACTTAATGAACAAAAAAGCTCCAACCACTATTGAAAAATAAGTATTTTCTAAGTCCAACCGTATTTTTTGGAAACATGATTGCTATAAAATTTAGAAGTTAGTAGAAGAAACTTTTGTTAAGAAGAATGCACAAAACAAGGCTTTCATGATTAGAGACTTTGTAAACTTAAGTTACGAAGATGGTGAAGATGTTTTGGTATACTTAAATGACTATCAAAGGTTCCTAAATCACTTGTCATTGATGAACCTTAAATTAGTTGAACCAGACACTAAACCTATTGAATTTATTGTCAAATAGTTAGGAGAATTTGATGGTGTTACTTAATAAATCTACTTCGAATGAGAAGCTCACTTTGAAAATAATAAAGAATAATATTCTAATGAGAAGAAAAGGAGGAAAGGATCAAGCACTATAGATTCTTATATACCTATTACAAGAAAAAAAAATCAAGAGAAAAGTTAGAGCATATTTTCTCATAGTAAGCAAGATAAAGAATCCATTGATAGAAAAGGAAAATTGAAGTCTAGAGAGAGGTTTTAATCAAAGAAAAAAAAGTGTTATCATTATAACATGCTTGAACATATCCAAAAGGATTACAAAAAGTATAAGAAAGATCGAATGATAAAACCAAAACAAAAATGAAAAGAATAATACAAGCTGTAGTTGTTTATGACGATGATGTCATCATTGTTTATTATGGTGGTTGTGTAAATGTTACTTATCAAGATACCAAATAGATTGTAGATTCAACTATTTTTTACCATGTTACACTTCAATAAGATTTCTTCACAATCTACGCTACTAGAAACTTTGGTCAAGTTAGGATGAGAAATCAAGGATGGCTAATGTTGTGGACACTAAAAATATTTAGTTGAAAACCAATATCATGTGTAATTTATTGCTAGGTATGTGCTCGATATGGACCTATATTTGATCTCCATATGTCCACTTAATGAAGAAGGCTATCACAATTTTATTTGAAAATGAAAAATAGAATTTCTTCAAATGTTCGTTGATTTTTCTCATGCAAGAATATGAGTCTTTATATGTCATAAGCCAATGTGATTAAAGAGGACATTAGTACAATTGAATACGCATCTACTAATTTATAGCATATGCGGTTTAGACACTTAAATGAGAAAGAATTTGGTATCCTTGTCGAAAAAAACTTCATTCCTTTGAAATGTATGAATTTAAATTCTTGCACTCATTCTTTAGCGAGATAAACAACATAAAGTGGCATTTCATAGATCACATCTATATAAAAAATTACATGTTCTTGATTTAGTTCATATTGATATTTGCTCTATGACTCACAAGTCTCTTAGAAGT